CACTTTAGAAATTATTTACACCCTGGGGGATAAAGTAAGAGCTAAAGAACAATTATAGAATACCATTTACAAATATAATAATAGCAGGAGTCAAAACTAACAATGTTGGATTAAATATACAAGAAACTTTATTTTGCAAACATTTTAATCTTTTAGCTGGCAAAGCTATGCCACAATTGACAGTTAACATTATATTTTACCCAATATCAGTTATGTTACTTGCTTCCACCCATCAGTTTTTAATCAATCCATAATCATTGGTAACACTAATAGTGGTATATGCTATATGGATTTCTTATTTCTGTTGAAATATGGCATGATGTATGAAAATGATCAAAATGGGTGGAATAGCTTTTCTAAGTCGTGTCTTCATTCTTGATATTTTCAATAGATATGCAATGATACTCAAAGAATTGACAACAATCTTTGATGCATAGTTTATTCAGGTTATAGTAGACACAAAAGATTATCTGGGAAGATGTTTCTGTAATTTTACTTCAGCAAATCACATTTCTGCTGGAGAGCGCTTCTCCATGAGATATGCCCACTGCCCTGTACTTGCCTGTGTCATCTGTGTGCTTTCTCGCTGATTGGATGTTGTTGATTGCGTTCCTGTTTCCTCCTATTCAAGTCATATATTCCACTGCCTGTTTAGGCCGTTACCTGTTACGCAGGTCATTTAAAGCCTTTTTTCCCATTATCCGTCATAGGAGCAGGTTGGTGCCCTTTCGGTTTTGTTGAACTGTTGTGGAATGAATTGTGGCACAAATTATTTATATCGGTTCGGTTCAACGGTCCTCTGCTCAGCCATGAGGGATGTAAGTTTGGATTCAAGTTCTCATCGACGTTCAGGTTCTAAGGGCACTTCATCTAATGGAGATAATTCACATAGGGAAATCTCTTGTAGGAAGGATCAGTCCAGCAGTTCCTCTTCCCAATGGGATAATAAGGCAGGTAAGGTACCGTCTGTGGCCGGTTCGGGCAGTTCTTCGGTCTCGGTTCCTGGTGCTGAGCAATAACGGGCTGATCATCCTCCTTGGTCTATGATGTTGGACGCTATTTGTGAGTTATGTGCAGATATGGTTAAGATGACGAAAAAGGAGGAAGAAAGGATGAAGAGAGAGAACCAGTCTTCTTCTTGGCTTGGTTCCTTTGAAGTTGAGCAATGATGTGCGTTGGTATGCCTCATGAGAGGAGCAGTCTCATACCACTCAGGATGATTGTTTGTTTGTTTTAGGGAAGACTTCTCTGGCTTTTCTTCTGATAAGAGCGAGGATGGTGAAATTCATGATGATCCCGTTGGCAGTGTTTTGCTACAGAATGCTAAGACTTTTGGCCCAACATACAAGATTGCGGAAGACATTGATCAACATGTCGACATGGTTAATCACTTATTTGATAATGATATGAGAGAGGACGAGTATAAGGACATTTTGGAAGACAAAATTACAAATAGGCCTATAAATTGTCATGCTTTGGCTCCGGTGGAATGTGAATTTCAGATTTTAGAGGCTCTCAAGACGGAAGCAAAGAAATCTGATTTTCGTACGAAAGAGGTTAGAAAAGATAAGGCAGGAACAATTACTACCAAGTCTCTTACAGTGTTCAATAAGCTTGCTGAAGAAGATCTGACCAGAAGATTTATCATTAAGCAAGAAATAGATCAGAAATATGCTCACCTATGCTCAGAGAAAGTACCTATGACAAGATTTCTGGTCGGGGAGGATGTCTCTCAATCGGCGAAACAAATTGAAGAGTCTCATACCACTCAGGATGATTGTTTGTTTGTTTTAGGGAAGACTTCTCTGGCTTTTCTTCTGATAAGAGCGAGGATGGTGAAATTCATGATGATCCCGTTGGCAGTGTTTTGCTACAGAATGCTAAGACTTTTGGCCCAACATACAAGATTGCGGAAGACATTGATCAACATGTCGACATGGTTAATCACTTATTTGATAATGATATGAGAGAGGACGAGTATAAGGACATTTTGGAAGACAAAATTACAAATAGGCCTATAAATTGTCATGCTTTGGCTCCGGTGGAATGTGAATTTCAGATTTTAGAGGCTCTCAAGACGGAAGCAAAGAAATCTGATTTTCGTACGAAAGAGGTTAGAAAAGATAAGGCAGGAACAATTACTACCAAGTCTCTTACAGTGTTCAATAAGCTTGCTGAAGAAGATCTGACCAGAAGATTTATCATTAAGCAAGAAATAGATCAGAAATATGCTCACCTATGCTCAGAGAAAGTACCTATGACAAGATTTCTGGTCGGGGAGGATGTCTCTCAATCGGCGAAACAAATTGAAGAGTCTGAAAACCTCTGCAAAATAAGGATTCTCATCTAGGTTCCACCCTTACAGTTATCGGGAGTCGCAGGTGAACTTGTTTGGCATAAGATTACAAGTGATTTATTTTGGAAATTGTTCAAAATTGCTACCTGGACATTGATGTTAATAATATTGATCATTTATTTTGTGAGGGTATTGAATATGTTTTTAGTAAAGAAGAGTCACAAATTATTGATCAGGAAATCTGTAAATTGTCAACACTGATGGTTATCAAACAAACTCAGAGATTAGATGGTCAAGTTATATCACCAATATTTTTGAGTAAGAAGAAGAATGGAGAATTTGAATAAACACATTCCTTACAAACATTTTAAAATGGAAAATTTGGGAGCAGGCGATTAGAATTATTAATAAAGGGGATTACATGGCATGCATATTATTCGGTGAAAATTGCAGAAGAACAACAGAAATTTTGATGTTTCAAATAGAAAGGTTAGATTTACCAATTTACCTGCCTGCCAAATGGTGTTTCAGAAGGTCCTCGTTTATTTACTAAATTTATGAAACCCATTTTTACTACCTTAAGGGGGAGAGGCTACTCCATCACTAGCTTTATTGATGACACGCTTATTTGCAGTGATTCAGTGTCAGGATGTTATGAGTGTATTGCTGAAACTAAAATTATTGAGGAAATTAAGGTTTTGTATTAATGAGGGGAAATCTGTTTTAGAACCCACAGTCTATTGAATAAACAGGTAATGTTAACTCTATCTCTTCCAGAAAGAAGGTATGAGAAAATAATTCTAAGTTGTTCAAGTTTAATGAGCAAAACGTGTGAGAAAATATGAGAGGTAGCCAGGGTAATTGGTCTCCTGGTTGCAGTGATCCCATCTGTAGAATGGGGGAAACTTCATTATAGGAAGTTGGAGTTACCAAAATTAGAGAAAGAAAAGGGGAACTTTGAGAGTTGATGATAGTTACAGATGAAATGAGACAGGACTTACTGTGGTGGGTCCAGAGTGTGAAGCTTCAAGACAGAATTTTTTTTAGATCAGGTAGTGAGATCAGCTGATTAATGGTAGATGGCCTGTGGACGAAAGGGAGTTACATATTAATGCCCTTGAACTCAAACCTATTTTGTTTGCCTTGTGCTCATTTAGGTCTCATTTTACCAACAAGCATATTAAAGTTTTTTGTGATAACACCACTGCAGTAAATTATGTAAATGAGGTGGGAGCCACTAAATCTATTATGTGTAATGACATTTCAGCTGAAATATGAGATTGGTGTTTGGAAAATGGAGCATGGATTACTTGTTCTCACATCCCGGGCAAGGATAATACAAGGACAGACGATGCACCAAGGAAGTTTAAAAGTTTAATGCCAGACATGAATGGAAATTAAATGAGAATATTTTCAGGGATTTGTGTAAAAATCTTTGTGACTCCTTGTATTGACTTGTTTGCATCTTGATTAAACAAATAGTTAAAATGGTTTTGCTCTTGGAAACCGGACCCTGAGGCTGAACATTTTGATGCTTTTTCGATCAGTTAGGCACAGTTTGAACTTGTTTATTCGTTTCCTCCTTTTGGCCTCATTGCCAGGTGCCTGCAGAAACTGAAAGCAGAAGTGAAAGGGTGGTTTATAGTGCCCCTGTGGACATCACAGTCATGGATGGGGATGCTTCGCCAATCCACGAATCATTATGAGGTGGAGGAACTTGCTGACACATCCGTCAACAATGGAGGAACACCCGATAATGTGTCACACCAAATTAATGGCATGTCTATTGTCAGGAAACAGCTCTGAGATAGGCGTATCGGCGTCTGGTACAGATATCATCATCGACTCCTGAAAATCGGGGACAGTGAGACAATACAGGCCTCATATTCAGTTATGGACAAACTTTTGTGGTCGGGGAGAAATTGATCCCTTTAATCCCAATGTAGAAGATATTGAAAAAAATTTTGGCTGAAATTTTCCACACAGGTGTGGGATATGATTGTATTAGCACAGCCCGGGGAGCCTATGCTGGGCATTGTTGTGGTAGATAGCAGAGCAGGAAATCAACCTCTAGTCAATAGATTACTGAGGGGTGTATTTAACTTCAGGTTGTCAAACCCAGGTATTCAGGGACCTGGGATGTTTCACCAGTACTACAGAAACTTAGGGAGTTGGAACCTCTTCACAGCATCCCTCTAAAAAATCTTACCTTGAAACTAGTAATGTTGATGGCTCTCACACAAGCAGCTAGAGTGCAAACTTTACATTTATTAGTCATTAAGAACATGAAGATTAAGCAAGATAATATTTGTGTTTGGTTAGGAGGCAACATTAAGCAATGTAGACCAAATTATAATGTTCAATTTCTTAATCTTAAGGCTTATGTCACAGACAAATGGTTGTTTGTGTATAACCCCTTGAAAATGTACATTAATAAGACTGAGGAGTTAAGGTGCCAGTCAGGGGAATGTGAAGATATATCTTGTCAGTTTATCAAACCACATAAATGTGTTTCAAAGGATACAGTTGCACGGTGGATTAGGATGTTATTAATGGGTATTGACACTAATAAATACTCAGCAGGCAGTGTAAGCTTGGTGCTAGGTATGGTAATAAAGAAATTGCAAGTGATAGGGATCTTTTCCAAGATGCGGTACTGAAGTAAATGTTTCACATGTTTGAATTTCTTACAGCACTATAAAACATTCAGATGTTGTGAAGTGAAATTTCTATATTGAAGGAACTTTACAAGGAAAGGTATTTTATTTCTCTTTCAAACATAACATTTAAGTATATATTCCTTAGTTGCTTTTGTATTATGGGTGCTATTAATTTACAAAATTATGCAAGAGTTTACAATATAATTAATTGTTATTATAATTTACTATTGTCTTGTAAGGAAGTATGGTATTTCTCAGTACATGGCAGTTTAGAGGGTAATGTATTTCATTTACCTTATCTGGAAATCGGTTATCATAGTTTTGTGGGTTCCACAAATTAATACAATCATAAAGATAAGTTACAACCCCCACATGGCTTTAAAACCTCATTGGGAAGGGTCCTCCAGCAGAAATGTGATTTGCTGAAGTAAAATTGTTAGAGTACATGAGACTTACTGTACATCAATTGAAATGTGCTTGTAATTTTACAAAGCAAGTCACTTCTTCTGGAAGGGAGCTTTGACATGTCCGCTGCTTCCGCCCTATGGGTGACGGGGGAAAGTGATAATGTGATGTAGAAGGCGGTTACTTGGGGATTTAGAGTGTAGTGTCATGTGGGGGGTTGAACACTGTAAAGTCTGACCGAGTGTGGCAGTGGGCATATCTCATGTGAAAGCTCCCTTCCAGGAAAAGTGACTTTGTAAAATTGCAAGTACATTTCAACTGACGTACGGTAAGTCTCATGTACTCTACAAATTTACCGTCAAAAACAGAACCAGTCTGAGCTTTATCTTGCCAGAATATATGTTTGTGCAATGTTATTCTTTAGCAGGGTGCATAGTGCTGAAGCTGTGACAATTACTAGGCAGTATGCCACTATCAGGCTGGATTTAAGATATAGGCCACCCATCACAAATGACTTGAATGACACTGTGGATGGCTTTTGATCGTTAACAGACATGCTTTTAACTTTTGAATATTGTAATTCTTCCAAGGAATGAAGATTTGTAGATTAGGTAAAATTATTATAATCATGCAAAAGGAACTAGTATAGATATGTCTGTAAAGTATTAGGGGTCTATTTAATTAATATGTAAGAATTATAACAATGATTAAAAATCGCTCCCCAAACTGAGAGTCCGAAGATGAGTAATGGGATTGCATAGCCAATGGAGAACATGGTGATCAAAGTACAGCTGCATGCATATAAAAGAATTAATGAAAACTTGTGACATTTGAGCACTCCTATAAAGCAGAGTACCACTGCAAACCAAACCAAGCAATATTGAAATGTGATGTTGAGCTTGATGGAGGCGGGAGTGCTGGCTTTTCGAGAGGGTGCAGAACCAGACTACAAAAGTTTGAAATATTGTTCATAATTGAGAAAAGAAAAGAAAAGAAAAAGAAAAAATATATATCTTACATTTCATCCTGCATACAATGTTTTATTTTAAAATACTAATAAAAGTATTTTTGCATACAGATTTTGCTGCAGTTTGGCATTAGGTAAAATTTGTTGTAAAATAACCCATTAAGAGTTTGTTTTACTGCTAAAGGCAAACCACATGTCAGATACATGTAATGGCTTTTTGAGAGGGTGCAGAACCAGACTACTAAAGCTTAAAATATTGTTCATAATTGAGAAAAGAAAAGAAAGAAAGAAAAAAAAAATGTCTTACATTTCATCCTGCATACAATATTTTATTTTCAAATTCAAATAAGAGTTCTTTTGCATATAGATTTTGCTGCAGTTTGGCAGTAGGTAAAATTAGTTGAAAAAACAATGTTTTACTGTTAAAGGCAAACCACATGTTAGAGATATGTAATGTTTTATGTCATATTATTGCTTATGTCAAATAAGTAATTTTAGTTGGTTTATTCAAACCTATTCAATTGCTTTCAGTGTGAAGTACAGTTCAAATTCTTCAAAAAAAGGAGAAAAAAAAGATGGATAGACAACCAACCAACTATTTAGATAAACAGATATAACTCACACAAAAAAAATTGATCTTTACAGAAATTAGGCCAAGATGGGGAGACTCAAGAAGGACATGTTGATAGAAATGCTTCAAGTATTTCTAGGACACCAACCAACAGAGCAACAGATCGCATGTTTCCTTTCCATCGTGAAAACAGGTATGATACCTTGTTATTACTTTCGTTAATTTAGCAGATAAGGTCATTTGCTGGTAATTTCTTCAGCTTTTACTCAAACACCTTCTTCTTCTTCTTCTTTTTTTTCTCCTCCTCCTCCTCCACCCCCTCCTACCCCCACCCTTGTCCTCCTCTCCTCCTACCCAACCCTTGTCCTAACCCTCCTCCTCCTCCCACCCACCTTGTCCTCCTCCTCCTCCTCCTCCTACCCCCCCTTGTCCTCCTCCTCCTCCTCCTCCTACCCCACCCTTGTCCTCCTCCTCCTCCTCCTCCTACCCCACCCTTGTCCTCCTCCTCCTCCTCCTCCTCCTCCTCCTACCCCCACCCTCCCCTCCTACCCCCCCTCCTCCTCCTCCTCCTCTATCCCACCCTCCTCCTCCTCCCTACCCCTCCTCCTACTCCTACCCCCACCCTCCTCCTCCTCCTCCTACCCCACCCTCCTCCTCCTCCTTCCCCACCCTCCTCCTCCTCCTATACCCCCACCCTCCACCTCCCTCCTCCTACCCTCCACTTCCTCCTCCTACCTCCTCCTACCCCCACCTCCTCCTCCTCCTACCCCCACCTCCTCCTCCTCCTCCTACCCACCCTCCACCCCCACCCTCCTCCTCCTCCCCACCACCTCCTCCTCCTACCCCCACCCACCTCCTCCTCCTACCCCCCACCTCCTCCTACCCCCACCCACCTCCTCCTCCCCACCCCACCCTCTCACTCCTCCTCCTACCCCACCCTCTCCTCCTCCTAACCCCCCTCCTCTTCTTCTACCCCCCCCTCCTCTCCTCCTCCCCCCCCTCCTCCTCCTACCTCCACCCTCCACCTCCTCCTCCTACCCCCATCCTCCTCCTCCCTCCTCCTACCCCCACCCTCCTCACCCCCCCTCTTCTTCCTCCTCCTACACCCACCCTCCTCCTCTCCTCCTACACCCACCCTCCTCCTCCTCCTCCTCCTCCTCCTACACCCACCTCCTCCTCCTCCCTCCTCCTCCTACCCCCCTACCCTCCTCCTCTTCCTCCTCCTCCTCCTCCAAACCCCACCCCCACCCTCCTCTTCCTCCTCCTACTCTTCCTCCTCCTCCTACCCCACCCTCCTCTTCCTCCTCTCCTACCTACCTACCCACCTCCTCTTCTCCTCCTCCACCTACCCCCACCCTCCTCCTCCTACCCCCAACCTCCTCTCCTCCCCCCTCCTCCTCTTCCTCCTACCCCACCCTCCTCCTCCTCTTACCCCCACCTCCTCCTACCTCCACCCACCTCCTCCCCACCCTCCTCCTCCTCCTACCCCCACCCACCTCCTACCCCCACCCTCCTCCTGCTACCCTACCCTCCTCCTCCTGCTACCCCTACTCTCCTCTTACCCCCACCCTCCCCTCTCCTCCTCCTACTCCCCCTTCTCTCCTCCTCCTCCTCCTCCTCCCCCCTCCTCCTCCTACTCCCCCTCCTCCTACTCCTCTCCTCCTCCTCCTCCTACTCCCCCTCCTCCTCCTCCTCCTCCTCCTACCCCCCATCCTCCTACCCTCCCCCCATCCTCCTCTTCCTCCTCCTCCTACCCCAACCCCCCTCCGCCTCCCTCTCCCCTCCATAAGTAGTTGTTTGTGCTTTTTGGTGTCTGTATTTTAAGCAGTAATTACTTTCAGTATGATATATTTCTATTTCTCTTTAGGAAACAGTGAACATCTATGTCTTGGCGATGTTGCAGTGCCTCTAAAGTCGCCATTGATGAAATACATAGAGAAAATGGACACTGCTCTTGGTTGTTACATTAGAAACCTTACTGAGGAGAGTCACAGTGTAAGGGATTTTTACAGGTTAACAGTTTTAGATAGTCCTTGTATTAGTCTGTGTATGTTAATGTGAATGTACATTGTGTGTGTGTGTGTGTGGGTGTGGGGAGGTGTGCATGCATGTGTGCACATGTGTGGGTGTGGGAATGTGTGTAGGGGTGTTCATGTAGATAAGTGTGAATCTGAATAAGAATACCCTAAGTGAATCTTGTTTTCTTAAAAGTGATAAAAAAGCCTGTCATGATATTTATTATGAAGTTATAGAATTATAAGCTTAATGTTGCCCACTTTGTCCAAGAAGTTGAACTAGAATTATATATTTATTTGTATTCCCATCACACTTTTCCTTGAGAGTGTTTGGCTGGAGTTTGAGTCAGATATATATTTCTAACCAACTTTAGCAAGAATATATAATTGCTCTAAGTTCCATGTGACGCAAAAGTAATCTCTCTTACATCTGATTGTTTTCTAGGCTGCCCTCAAGTCCCTGCAGGAGGGTAAATTCCCAGTGAGTAAGATATGGATAGATAAAGATATTTTATATATCAAATTTGAAAGAAAGGAGGTAATGAAGTGTATTGTCAAGGAAGTAGCCAGGAATGTACTTGACTATGGAAAAAACAAACTGTTGTCATCGGTGGTAAGTGTAGGAAAATATTTGTCTCTTTTTTCTGTCTCTTTGGCTTTAATATTTTAGGAAAAGTTCTTGTGTTTGGTCATGATATATTGTTTTTTAATAGGGAGATGACTCAGTGGTATTATGTTTTGTTTGATAGATAATATTCAAGATTCATGTTAGGATTGAATATGGATAATGTATTGCTTCCAAGCTTAATTTCTCTGCAAGTTATTCTGATTTTTTTTTCCAGAAAGTTAATATAGCAAATGATTCAAGTAGAGAATCATCTGCTTCAGCAACTTCATACCGAGGCCACAAACTTGCTTTCCATATAGGGGAGATTCTCAAACATGCTGGTGCAACCGTGGAGCTAGAAGAATGTGATCAGAGAAAACCCAGCGCAAAGATAAGGCAAAACCTACCACCCATATTACTAAACCCAGAAATGGATGGTGAAACTACTTTCAAGTGTACAGGACTTTGTCCTCCTCCTGCCCCTAGAGTAGAACCAAGTGCAAATGTTGGAAGGGGTGAGTTTCAGAGGCTGGTGGCAGCAGGCATGTCAAAGCCCATGGGAGAAAAAAAGAAAGAGAATAAAGGTATATTCAAGGAACTGTTAGATGTTTTTGATCCATCAGTTCCCCTCCAGCCTCCTAAGGACCAGAAGAAAGAATTTATTGAGGAGATATTTGATGCTCATAAGGATATTAAAGCTATTATAAAGTCCTCAAAAGAATCAAAAACAGAGACAACAAGCTATACAATAGAAAATGTTACAGAGGAATCTTACCCTCCACCTTGTAATGATAAGATTTTTAAGAAACATCATTGCTTTTATGTCCCTAAGTTAGGAGAGAAGAAAATGGAAGCACCATTAGTAACAAGGAAAGTAAAAGCTAACCTCCCTACTACAAAAGAGGAAGAGAAGAAAATGGAAGCACCATTAGTAACAAAGAAAGTAAAAGCTAACCTCCCTACTACAAAAGAGGAAGAGAAGAATGAGATAAACCTTTACATTGCAAGAGAACCACTCCCAACTACAATGATTTCTAAGGCAAACCAGTATCTCTATGCTCCAGTTGTTCACATGAAAACCAGTAAGGTGTGGAATGGATCAACAGAAGATTTATGCAAGTAGGTTTTTAGTTCTCATTGAAAAGTAATTCCTGGTGATTTTTTTTTTATCTGTGATGTATGGAATTCCTTATGCATCATGGAAAAAATATTCTTATGTTTATATGTCAAGCCACAAGAGAAGTTGATAAAAGATGTTAGTATAAAAGCAAGAGTAATGACTACACCAACTAATCCTTTTCAGACAAACACATCTGAAGAAAGACTTAGCACTTTGTCATTGGTTTCTAGACTGCTTTGTTAAATTCATCTTTGATATATACAATAATGAGAAAAAAAAATTTGTTTTTGTATTTAATACCATCTAGAGGATGAAGTCTTTTGATTACTTTTATTTCTTCCTGTCTTTCTTTTCTTTTCCTAAGTTTTTGTTAATCTACCATCTCTTGTGTTCGTTTTCCTTCTTTCCCTTGTTCTTATGATTGTTTTAGTAATCTTAAAACTGCCCCTCCACAGAATCTTGGTAGAGGAACTGAAACGAGCAGCTGCACAGAAACATGGAGACGTTGATACACCAGAATGGAGCCAGTTCTTGGAGGAGCAAGCATGGAGATGTATGAGCCTCCAGATGCTTAGTGTCTCTCACTGCTCTCCACTGAAAGTAGAAGTGGATGGTGTGACTCAGAACTCAAGAGGTGCCTAACCCATTGGATCCGAATGCTGTAACCTATTGGATCCGGATGCTTTACTTTACTCACATGGCTCAAAATACAGGCATTAAGCTTACTTGAGCAGCCATTCTGACAGGTGTTCAGCTTGTAGAGTGGGGGAACATGAACACTTGTGTGTGGTGACAAGACTCCGTTCCGCCCTTTTGCAATTTTAGCATATCTTTTTCTACATAAGCATTTTTTAGCTTTTCTGCCATTTTCCAATGTCTATATTTGTCAGTTGATATGCTTTATCCAGATGGTAATGGACTGTTTTCCTTGCACAGACTCGATCGTATCTATAGGTAGTCCATAACTCTGTGCAGTAATAATAATAAATAACATTGTTGTGTTGTTAATTTTTCCCCTTTTTAAAAAATTTTCTGCAATACAACCTGGGGTCAGCTTGTTTATGTGTACTTTTGTCTTGACTTTTTATTTTATATGTAGTTTCAGTTTAACCCCTTGGATCTGGGTAACAATCATATAAAAAAAATTGGTGAAGGCCAGGTGACATGAATTAATATCATGTCATGATAAATTAATTTGGCAAAGGGCCATGGATTATGCCATTATGAGAGTTTTGGCTAATAAGTGCACAAAGAATTAGACTTAGTGGGCATTTAAGAAGGGTCTCTTGCAGTATTTCTATTGGTAGACGAGTGTGGAATGTACCATCCATGAGTCAGGACTGGAAGAGTGCCAGCTCCAGGGAGAAAATTATTTTCACGTTCAGAATCCTATTCATGCCAGCTGTGACTTGATGGCATAGGGTGTTTTACAAAAAGTAGAATATTATTGAAAGATAAAATAATGACACAAATAACAAAATATTATGTGTTGTTACTTCTCTGAGTTTTGGACTACCTTGGGATATGATTTGGAGTCTGTAGAAGGAAAAAAGTCTATTGCCATCTGTAAACAGCATATCAAATACAGATAGAGACATTGAAAAAAGACAAAAAAAATGAAAAACTTATGCAAAAAGAGAGATTATGATTTGGAAAAGAGAGTGTTTGTGTGGTCCACACACCTGTGAGTTGCCATGTGAGTAAGCCTAATTCTGGAATTTTGGGCCACATGTGGGCAAGCAAAGTACCCAGAGATGGGTTAATGTACCCAGCAAAATCTGATTGTGGAAGCTAATGATTTTTGCATATATGGATATCTTTCTTTTATATGATGATGCACCATACCCAAGGTCAACTAATTATTATTATTATAGTTATTATTATTATTATTATTATTTTTTTTATACAGAATCTGCATTTATCTTGTATAACTATGCACGCCTCTGTACCATCTTCCAATCCTTTGAAGAGAGTGTCTCAGAAGGAGAATTTCCACCATTGCCAGACATTGATGAAATTGACTTTGCTCTTCTGAGAAATGAGGTGAGTAAACTGTAAATACTTTAGTTTGTTTGCAAAAAAGAATAGATATTTCAAATTTCATTTTACTTACTAGCATTTCAAGAGCTAACCTCAGTGATCTGGATGACTTGACCAACATTTCATGAAAAAATTGGGCTTAAGAGGTGGGTGATGTGAGGATGCTGTCATGGGAAATTTGGCTGTGGGCTAGGGTGATACGAACTTGCCATCACTAGCACTTAAGCTTGCCACAAGTGCACATACATTGTGGAGGTAATTAGACTTGTTTGGTATTTAGGAAGGGGCTTTTGCATTAATTTCATCAATGAATGAATGTGGAATATAATGTTTGTGAAGTGATGGCTTCAGGGAGGACACTATTTCCATGCTCAGAATTCTATTCCTGGCTGCTATGAATGGAAGTTCAGATTGGATTACAGAAAAAAAAAAAAAAAATGTAACATTATTCTTACACTAAAGAAGAGCTGGAGTATGTGCAATGAAAACAATGACAAGTCTGGACATTGGAAAGTGACAAAAATGAAAAAAGCCTTATGCAGAAAAAGAGAAAATAACATTCCAAAAACCTTTATGCAGAAAAAAAAGAATATAACATTGCATAGGGGAGGCATAGAGTCTTGTCATTACACGCAAGGGTTTGTGTGTGCCCAGCCTACATGCCTCGTACCTGAAAGGCCGCCCAAGTAAGCCTAATGCCTGTATTTTGGGCCATGTGATGGCATTGAACCATCTAGATCAAATGGGTTAATTTTAGACTCATAAAAATACATATATCATTATCATATATCATATACAAAATTTTAGAAAAATGTAGCAAATGGTAGTACATACACATTATGCAGAGAGTCATGATTGTGGTGAATAGGACTTTAGAGGTTAACTGTTGCCTGCATAAGATGTAGCTCAGCTCAAGATCACATCCCACCTTCAGCCAGCTCCCTTACTTTGAGGTGTTACAGATCCAGGGAGAGACTAATCCTGTGGTTGCCATTTTTACCTTGTATTTAGGCATTTATTTATGCGGATGGTTTTACTTTTTTCTTCATCCTTTTTGGTCTTCTTCAGTGTTCTTCATGCACAGTAAATCACACTGGGTGGCATCCTTTCATATCATGATGTCTAATAATTTCATGAGCTGGGATTTTAGCAAATAGGATGAGGTTTTAGGAGCTAGGTTGTAAGTAGAACGATATCCCAGACATGCATGCTAATGTTCTCCAGCCTTGCCAAGCTTTAGTCAGAATTTTATGCTTAGTTTTGGAAAGGCTTTCCAAAATTTTTATTGTATCTGATGTTGGATGTTTGAAGATTAGTAAGATCTTAGAAAGGGTAATATGGGAATGCTTTCTTTCAGTGCATAGTAAAGTATTAGAAGTAATATTCGTACAATACTTCATTTCAGTTCTTAACAAATGCAGTAACAAACATCTATTGTACCTCACTGTGTAAAACAAACATTTTAAAGATACTACAGACATCCTCAACACTAAACTCACACATAAAATATCACTACTCATACACTGGCAAAACATACATGCACATAAAACATCTCTACAAATACAAAGCATACCTGTCAAGATTTGTCAAATGTGGCCATAGCTAAAATACTTGGCCATCCTTTGCCCTTCATATGCACCAGAGCTTGGCCATCCATTGCCCTTCATATGCACCACAGTTTGTCTGTGGACATCACCCCTCTAACTCCACAAGTATAATATAGGCTAGACCAGTGTTGTCCGAACTGTGGTCCGTATTCCCCTGGGGGTACGCAACATAGATCATAGGTGTATGTGAACAAACAAGGAACACACATGCTTCACATCTCATAATAAGTTGTGTATTTTTCAAGCATTTTGTTATTAAATCATCTTTTTTATTTTTGTATTAAATTCAAATTTATTGACCAACATTCCTGCAATGCAGTCTTTTCATAATAAGTATATTATTTGCATTATCCTGCATAAAACAGTTTGTTTAGCCATGGTGGACGATAGGGGGGCCGGGTATGTAACAGTATAAGAAGGTAATAAAGGGTACAGTAGGCAAAAATATTTGGACAACACTGGGCTAGACAAAACACACAAACCCCAACTCAGACTGACAGTAGCCCTGCACTATCATAGATATCACTGAGGAGTTGACAGGCCATTTGACACACAACACCTTAACATCACATCATATCATCAGATAGCAACAACCATACTTCAGCTGATTTCCATACTCCCCAATCTGGCCCACTGGCTCAGTGTGGAGGATTTCTCCTACCTTGGGCTTCAGCCTTCAGCTAAATCATTTTGCAGTCTTTTCCCTTCATCAACTAGCCTATCTATATTTGATTTCATTATTTTCCTGAACCCTGCCTCTCCTTTGACCACGGCTCCAACCATTGATACTAATACTCCCTCCTCGATGTTTACTGACAACTCTTTCCATTCCGAACCACCCACCCAGGATTTTATTCACCATTCAGAATACTCCTTCCTCTCTCCCAAGATTCTCCACTCCAACTCCTGATGCACAGTCTTTGTTGTCTACCCTCTCTCCCCTTATTACTACCCTTCATCCTTATTGTTCTCTTCCCCACTGTACTACCTTAATCTACACCACCCCATCTTCCTCCTGCCCTTGTCCTTCTACTGCTTCCATCTCTGCAAACTATTTGAGTACTCTCTTTGGCCCAGCCAAACAGGATTGATCCTCTGTAATTCCCCCTACAGCCCCTGTCTCTCCTAACAATGTCTCCAAAAACAAGTAGGCAAAGTTTTGATTGTTCATGTCTTGTTACATAACATCTGAGTCCCAAGTTCATTCACTATCTACCCTGACTGACCTCACTGGCATACCTATTCCCACTCAACCTCACTCCTGCTCAACACTGGTACACCACAACTTGCTACCCTAAATGTATTATGGGAACTGCCCTGCCAAGTTTGAGTCTGGGGTTATAGTTCTTAGATTCAAATCTGGCCTTGTCCTACAAGGAGCCAGACAGGAAGCATGTTAACAAGGTCTTTCTCTTGCTCCTTTGCTCTGCCCAACCCCATCCTCAAGATGTTTCCTTTGCACAGTTGTTTGAATCATTCTTTGCCACTGGATTACAGTTATTTCAATTAACTTCTACCCTTTCATTCTTATTGACTTTACAGCCTTTGGAATGCAACTATTGTAATTCCAATCATCTTACCTTTTAGTTGATGACTAACTGCTGCCGCACTCTTTGGGGAGATTCCATAACTATTTCCTGTGGCTATTCCTAGAAATGCTTTCTCTCCAGTACTGATTGTATCCTAGCAAAACATACAACAGTCACATAAATTATCTCTACAAATTCAAAGCATACCTGTCAAGATTTGTCAGATGGGGCCACAACCAAAATACTTGGCCATCCATTGTCCTTCATAAGCACCACAACTTGTCATAATGCTCCACCTGTTATGACATATGCACCCAATCCTTTTTCATTCCTTGATCTTCTTTTTGCTCCTCTTCCTACTATTTATACTTTTGTTGGTCAATTCTAGACCACTTTATAGTGATTACTTTCATATTCTCCTTTCTCCTACTTTATAAATCCCACTCCTCAATCTCCCACATAGGTGCTTCGACTTAGTTGACTAGCTGAATTTTACCTCTCTCTACTCTTGCTCTTCCTCTATCATTCTTTGCTTCCACTTCAGACGGACTTTTATATTTCACTGCTGTTATCCTGATTGCAGCTTTTACAGGCAAACCCTGAACCTCCTGGCCATACACTTCCAAATATGTTCCATGGTGGAACTCTAATTGTACTAATGCATGTTGGTGAAAGTGTGCACTATGGAATAGCTTTTGCTAGAAGCAAGAAACCCCAAGTCAGCTATCAGCCCTTATCTCATTTAACAGGGCAGAAGCTCATCTTTGTCATACAATCCATAATTTCATCACAAACAGCTGGCATAATTGTGTCTCCATAACATCCTCTGTTTCTGCAGTCTTGTGGTTGATTCATATACTTTCAGGTAAACATTGTCATCATCCTGCCCATCCTCCATACCCAAAATACCCATATCTCTGATCTCTCTATGTTGTTACTGAACTTGGTGGTTGTTTTAGCCACATCAGTAATGGCTCTCGCCTTTCTGTTCAATTCTCTTTCATAAACTCAGCCAAAGAGCGAACTTCCTTCTCCCTGCACTCTACAGAGTCCTATAATGCTCCCTTTTCTTTTGATCTCTATTATGCCTTACATTCTCATGCCAGAACACCCACGAAGGCCCAGACGGTATACTTTACCATATCCTATGACATCTCCCAATTGCCTCCATGTCCTTCCTACTAGCTATATTCAGCAGTATTTTGAAAGCTGGAAACTTTCTTCCTTGTTGGCATGAAGCTCTTATCCTACCTTTTTAAAGATAAATTGGTACACCTCCTCAAGTTTCCCGTCTTATTGTTCATATAAGCTGCTTATGTAAACTACTGCTATTGTAGTACCTCAAATTCACAGCCTTCTCTCTCTTATTCAGTTTGGATTTGCCATGGCCAAAGTACTGCTAACCCCCTTGCTCATTCTTAGATACAAACTGCATCTACATTTGCACACTGTGATTCTGTAATAGCAGTCTTCTTCTATTTAGAAAAGGCATATGAAACCACATGGCGGTACTATATCCTTCACTAGTTATCTACCCATGCGTGTGTTCATAAAGTCTTTCCATCTTGACACATTTTGTGTTAAACATGTCTCTTTTACTACCTATTCTTTCCATCAATTCAAATGTGCCACACAAGGCAGGGTGTTAAGCACCACATTATTCCAGCTTAGCTTCACCCCCATCACCAGGTAATCAGCCATCTTTGCCCCTGGACCTTTTATACCTGCTCTGTCAGCTTTGCCAGTCTGCCATTGCATTAAGCTCTCCCTGGGCCACTGACCATAGCTTTTGAATATCTACTTCTAAATCCTTCCTCCTTATGATTCAATTCTGCCCCACAGGCAAGTTCCTTGATGTCAGTTTTGATTCCATACTGTTGTGGTAGACCATCATCCAGTTAAAGAAAAAGCTGCTATATATATTCTTCTGCCTCCACCTCCATTCTTTCTCACCTGAACACAATCCACCTGTGCTGTCTTTGCTTAGCCATAAGCACCTGCTGATCCTCTCCTGTTTAGTGCCTATATGCTGAATTTGTCTTGCCATCACCATTTTTCACCAAGTTTCTGTCTCTAATCTAATCTAATGGTCCTTCAACCCTATCTGTTTACCATTGCCTCCTTTCAGCATTTACCAACTCCTTACCCTGTCTGTATTGATGCTTTCCTTTCCCATTCACCCTCTCATCTCTTATCATTCCTCTCTCTGTCCATTCATTCTCTCCTTGGCTTTTACCTCCCTCAAATCAGACATCCCTCTCACATATTTCCTCAATCGCATCTCTACTCACTCTTCCAGTACGCATCTTAAGTACTGGTTGCTCTATAGTCTTTCCTTCCTGTTCTTGAATCCTGCTTCCTTACAACAGAACTTTATGCCATCCACTTTGCTTTACAATACATGTCTTAGATTTCTTCCTCATCCCTTCACTATCTTTACCAACTCACACAATTCAATATTTCTCATACAGTCAACCCCTTGTCCCAGAGATCCAGGACCAGTTGTTCTATCTCTCTGCATGACATATCAGTCTGGTTTTGCTGGATACCCGGGCAAGTTGGGGTCCCTGGCAATTAACAAGCAGATTCTTTAGGCTGCTCCACAGCTTTATCCATATCCCACCAATCCTATTTTTCACATATTCTAGCCACTGACTGTTATACCCACTTTACAACTTTCACAGCTGGCAATCTTTTTGATCAGGTCATAAGTAAATTACAAACCATGAAACCTTCCATTCCATCAGAATGGATACTAGGAAACAGTGCTTGCCTGCTTTCATATAGGCCACACACCTCACACATTAATATCTCACCTCATGTTCTGACCGCCCCCCACCCCCCTCAATGTTACTCATGTAATGTTCCTCTTTGTCCCACATCCTGTTATCCTGTCCCTGCATCACTGGAGCCCTTATCTTTACTTTTCCTCATTGGCTCTCTTCCCCGACCCCCGAACCAGTTGGATTTCCTTATGGAAATCCCCCACTTTTTAATTTGACAGCTTGTTTTCCTTCTTCAGATGCATAGATACCCCCATTTGATCTTATCACCCTTAACTCACTGATTTCCCTTTTGCTACAGTACTTTACCTTAGTAAAATTAGCCATTCAGCTGATTTGGCTCTACCAGGGTTTTATGATTAAACAAAATGTATTTAAAAAAGAGAATTTTTCCCTAAAAATAAATATTTAAGAAGCTTCAATAGAGTATCAGAAGGAACAAAATAATTATTCTTTTTCACTGGACTTTGGACTTTCTTTCAGAAAACTTTTTACACTTATTATTGTTTCTCACAGGAGGAATGGCAGTTGGTCTGGGGATACATCTTCCACTTCCCAGATATTATAGAGGAAAATGCTGTGCAAATAATGGGAGGCACTGGAAAATTTAGAACTGTTGCCGTCACCAAGTTCATGAGTTCCTTTTCGCATCGTGTGAGCGAGTACTACAGCCGCTACCATGTCCTGTCTGATCCTCTGCCACATCTGCTACCCACAATGTATGCAAGACTTCATCTCTTGCAAGCTGTCAAGACTGTGATGGAAATATGTTTTGCTACACTAGGGGTTCAGTCACCTACATCTTTCATGTAATTTTTGTTGGAAGTATTTCTTACTCTGTGTTTCTGTGAATGGGCTTTTTTTCTGATTTTCTCATAATTGGCTTGCAAAGGATTATTGTGAATTTATTGCATTGTGAAGGGTTTTCACAATTTTTTTTTACTGAAAGAAAAAATATGGAAATTATATGCTGTGTATGTACATACATACATACTCTCTCCAGCTGTTATAAGCTGTCATGTGTGTAGTAAATAAATTCGAGGAGGAGGAATTGCCACAATTTTTCATGCACTTATGAAAACATACAGGGAAATCCATCTTATATCAGTAGACTAGTCATATTTTTAAAATGTTTGTACATGGAAGATATCTGTATTTGAAATATGTATATCATAACATTGTATTCTTTGCATTATCAAATCACTTAAAGGAATTCAGAACATATTTGGATTTGTAATTTCTGCAGGTTCTTGTTTTGCTTGTCTGTAAAGGTTCATCCATTAAATTTAAGGCTTTTTGATAAGGATGCAATGTTATTCTCAGAATGAATTTCATGAATTATTTTATTTTTGTACTGAAAGAAAAGAGTATGGAAATATATAAATTATTGTTATTTTTAATAATGTTTCAGTGACCTTTTGCATGGAAGAAAGGATGTACATGTAGGATGTAAAACAGTATTATTTAATCATGTATCAAATTACACAAAGGGAAGGTCATGTTAAAAATATATGCTTGTCGTATTATTAAACACTGAAAGACTTTTAAATATGGTTTGGGAATATGATACTTGCATCCAGTGAGGTAGAAGGGCTATTATTTTTAATGGTTAATGGTTGAAACTTTTAAATATGCTAGACATCAAAGGTCATATAGCACTATTGCAAAGTATTGTCAAATTTGATAAAAATGAGTTAACAACTAGGATAAAATGTGTCAGGGTCAAAGGTTGTAGAGTGCTATGGGATAGAATGATAGCAAAAAGGGTAAAGAGGGGAGAACAAATGGAGTATTCAAGGATTTGTAAAGGGGAAGGGGTTAAGGATATAGGGCGATTAGATCAAAAGGAGAGTATCTGTTAGTATGAAGAAAAGAGAGTAAACACTGTATGAAGAAAACTGAAGAGCCATTATGAAACAATCATAAAGTAATGCAAGTAGAAATGGAGTTTGAGAAGGAGAATAATCCAGAGACTGAGAAGGGAACAATGGAAGGTGGTGAAGTATCAGGAAGAAGGAAGGATCCAGTGAATGAGACTTGTGAGCAACCAGGTGGGAGTGGCAGGGATAATAGGGAAAGAAGAGGGAATGGTGGTACACATGGAGAAGGAGAGGATGTGGGAGAGTGGGAGGAAGAGGGGTAGGGGGAACTTGAGGAGGACTGATATCAAACAAATACTTTGAATGTAGAGCGAATAGGAATATAGGGATTGGAGGGTAGATGAAGGGTAGGAGGTTGAATGAGGGAGTGGAGTATTCTCTTGGGTTATGTTTATGAAGTTTTTAATGGTTAATGGTTAAAAGCGAAATAAATGTGCTAGACATCTAAGGTCATATAGCACTATAGGTGATAGTTGCTATGCGTCAAATATCTAGAGTAATGTTGGAAAGTTGAAGTTGGGTAAGGGTGTTGAGGGAAAGGGTTATGGTGGTTTAGGTAAGAGAATTAGATCAAGTGAAGGATATTTATGCATGAGGAAGGAGAACAGGTTGTTAAAAGAAGCAAGGATATGACCAAGGTCTGGTCTATGAGAACAGAAACCGCGAATATTCCAATTTAGGAGAGCTATATCTTAGTTATTTTATGAGCGAAAGCACCCGTACGTGTTGGGGAATCAGGGGGGAAGGAGCTAGGGGGTGTGACATGAGTGATTCCCGTGTGTATCCGGGAGGGAGTGGAAAAGATAGAGGGGATGGAGGGAGGGAGAATGTGCGTATAGTTGGAGTTGAAGGAGGTGTGTTGTCTTGGGAGGGAGTAGGAGGAAGGGATGTAGGGGTGCTATGAGTAAGAGGGGGATAGAGTGAGTGAAGTGAGTGTGCAGTAGGGGAAGAAGGGGTGGAACTTTTCGTCTATCTACTGGGGGTAGTGTGGGGAGGGAGAGGGAATGGTGTTGGGACTGTAGTTGAGATTGGAGCTGTGTTTGAGATTGGGGTGTATGGATTTAGAGTGGTAAAATAATTTGACTGGGGGAGGTTGAATGTAGATGCCGAAGTGGTGGAAGTGGGTAAGTAAGTAGTTATAGGGGAGGGTGTAGGAACATCTTAAGGTGGAGGGGGAGCGACATTACTGGAGTAGGGGTATTAGAGAAACCTTGTCGGCGTGCTTCTTGTCTGTCTTCACGGAGAGTGAGACCATTTTTGTATCTGAGAGCTGCTACCTCAGACTCGAACTTGTAAGTGGGACAGCCTCTATAAAATAAATTATGGGGGCCACCGCAGTTAGCACATGTGTGTGTTTGTACAGGGCAGTTTGATCTGTTATGACCGGGTTGGGCACAGAGGAGGCATCGGTCTGTGGAGCGGCAGTGTTTGGCAGGGTGTCCAAATCGCCAACAATTTTGACATTGATGGGGAGGAGGTTGGTATGGTTGAACAGGGAGTCAGTAAAAATAGTGAAAGAGGAAGAAGGGAGTGAGTATGTGTTGTAAATTAAAAAGGCGTACGTGCAGTTCCGTAGTAAGGGTACTAGATTCAGGAGGGATAGGGTATTTGAAAGTACGAGTTGGAAAAGTTACTGCGAAACCAGCACCAGAGGTGGATTTGGAGCCGTCAGTAAAAGCATGAATACTGGAGGAATGAATGGATACTTGGTCGAGGAATTGGGTGATAAAGACGGAGTGGGTGATTTCCGATTTTGGTGGGTTAGGGAAAACAAGAGGAGCAAATACGGGGGTAAGGTATAAGACATGGAGGAACGGAATGGATAGAAAACGGGAGGTCGGAGATGGGGGAAGAGGGTATGGGAGAGGAGGGAATCCATGCAAATGAAGAAAGGTGTACATAACGTGAAGAAGCAAAGGTAGGAAGCAGGGATCGTGGGATAATTAGTTTGGTGAGCGGGAGTGGGTGGAATTGAGCATACCATCGGAGAGAGAGAAGGGTACGGCGTCGAGAGAGATGGCATGCCTGACTCAGTGTACAGGCTCTCAACTGGAGAAGAGCGGAAGGCGCCTAGAGCTAAGCGAAAACTGCTGTGGTGGATTGTATCATGGTGAGTAAGAAGGGAGACTGAGGCAGAGGAGTAAATATGGAATCCATAATCAGAGTGGAGATGATCAAGGTAACATGAAGATGGAGAAGAGTTTAGCGATCTGAGCTCTAAGGTATGTGAGAAAGAGTTCGTAAGATTCTGAGGCAGCGGTGAGCTTTTTCTTTAATGTGAAAGATATAGTATCGCAAGGACAATTTGGAGTAAAAAATAACGCCAAGGAATTTAAAAGAGGAACGGTATTGAAGTGGAGCGCCATATAAGAAGAGTGGAAGTTGGGGACCTACACGTACACGAAAGAAAAGGATGGAGAAAATTGGAGGTAGAAAAGCGAAAGCCATGGTTAGTGGCCTAGGAAGATACTGATGATATTGCAGACTGAAGAAATTGGCTGAGATTTGGTATGCATGTGCCAGAGGCGTAGATGGTCAAATCATCAACATATAGTGATGTCCGGGCTCCTGGTGGTAGAACTGAGACATTGTCATTAACAGCAAGAAGGAATAAAGTGGTGCTGAGCACACTGCCTTGTGGAACGCCTTCGAACTGAGGAAAGGATGATGATGTGGAAGAGGCAATTTTGACCTTGAAAGTGTATTTGTGTAAGTGTCTGAGCATACAGCAGTGAATACGTCAGGGCCTTCATGAGTGTTGCGGCACGACTGTATGACAGCACTGAGTTCAAGGGAAGAAAAAGAAGCATTATTGGACTTAGCAGAGGATAGGGTGAATGATGATGGGGTGCATTCCCTGATGGTCTTCTTGGAAGAGAAGTGTGGAGAAAAGTGAGAGCCACTACTGACCTGGCTGAAATAGTCGCCCAGTTCATTAGCGACTTGGAGAGGATCTAAGATGAGAATATGGAGGACAGGGCCTGGATAGGTTCATGTTTACCTGATAGTTTATGGATCCGACGCTGAAACAGATGTAGATGTAATTAAGGAAACGTAATTTCGTCAGCTATTTGTTTTATTGTTCCGGATTTTACGACGAAGACAGGCAGATGCTATTTTAAAGGAGATAAAGGCTGATAGTTGATTAGGAGTGCCTCGTGTGTAGCGATAACTGTTCCAGGCTGCACGTTTTAAAGAAAGTGCTTTGGTGCAGTCAGAATTCCACCATGGAACACACTTGGAGGTATAAGGTCTTGAGGTTCGAGGAATGGCTGTATAGGCAGCTCTTAGGACTGTAGCTCTGAAACATTGTAGTATATCTGAAATGGACGAGAAGGGTAGGAATAGGAGAGAGTTGAAGTGAAAGTACGGCAGTCAGCTCTATCAAACCACCAGCGTGAGGGATTAGGAAGTGGTACATACGAAAGTGGATCCTATAGGGATATTGGTCTAAAACTGACCAATGCAAATATAAACGGAGAGAAGGGGAGCATAGAGAAAGGTCAAAGCATGAAAAAGATTACGTGCGTATGTCTGTGTGGAGCGATCTGAATTAAGAATAATGCCACTTGTGGAGAGGAAGCGTTCCAGGGATCGGCCACGGGAGGTGGTGATAGAATCACCCCAAAGAGTGCGGCGGCAGTTGAAATCAACTACGAGGGAAGGTGGCTGGAGTTGGGAAATTAGTTTCAAGGACAACAAAGTCAATGGGGTGGGAAGGGGAGAAGTAGACTGAAATAACTGAGATCTAACGGCGAAGAAAGATGCGAATAACTGTGCACGGGACTGTGGTTTGAAAGGGTGTTTTCTAATTGATAGGTATAGATGAGACATAAAGGGAATGTGGGGAAGAGACAAGATGGTATTAGGGAATTAGTATAGGAGGATGCGTAAGAAAAGTCACTTGGAGGCAGATAATGGATGGTCTGGGAGAACGGATGCCGCAAATATTACAAAGTAGAACTATAACTCAGTTGATCTACGAGTGATAATAGTTACAGTGCGTGTTGGAATAGTAGTTTTGGGGTGAGATAAGGAATTGGAGGGGGATTGTAGTATCAGGAGGTGGATTATCTAGGGAAGGGCATAGCTGTGACAAAGGATTCACGTTTGTATCCAGGAGGGAGTGGAAGGAAAAGAGGGGATGGGGGAAGGTGTAATCGGAGCTGGGGGGGAAAGGCTGTGTTGGGAGGGAGTAGGAGGAAGGGGTGTAGGGGGAATATGAGTAGGAAGAGGGTGGATATCGGCAGTCACTTTGAGTGTGGAGGGAGAGATTTTGGAGTAGTCTTTCATGAGTTTAGGAAGTTGGCTAGTGATTAGAGTTGGAAAAAGTATTTGACTTGGGAAGATAGGAGGTAGAAGTGGAGAAGTAAGATGTAAGAGGGATAGGTATAAGGGAGGGTGTAGAAACATCTTGTGAGGGAGGGGGAGGGGCAGTGCGTGCGTTATTACAGGAGTAGGGAGTAAGAGAAAAACATCGTCGACGTGCTTCCTGTCTGGCTTCACGCAGAGTGAGACCA